GTCATCTGTCACTCAAGACGGACGAGCTGCTGAGCAGCTCTTAGGTTATTGTTAATAGAGTTATATGAGATGATGTATAGGGCTATATATGGGTTTTGAAAATCATAGTGTGTTATACCAATATTCAGTCTTAGTGTTTAATTCTAAGTCTCAGCATGGCTGGCCTGGTTTGTGTTATTAAAGAGGATCTGAGGTTGATGTGTGTGTGTGTGTGTGTGTGTCTGTGTGTGTGTGTGGTCTGTCTGGTAGTAGCCACATTTTCAGTAATGTCATTTTTCATAATTAAATGCTTCAGACATCCTTTCCCAGATTCTCTATAATAAGAGTTTTCACTACAAAGTTAGACATTTTTTGTATCAGTTATCGATTGCTATGTAACAAGCTACCCCAAAACTCAGTGGCTTAAAGCAACCAATATTTATTATCTCACAGTTTTTATAGGTCAAGAATCCAGGCATAGGCCAGGCATGGTAGCCATATCTATAGTCCCAGGACTTTGGGAGGCCAAGATGGGCAGGTTGCTTGAAGCCAGAAGTTCAAGACCAGCCTGAGCAACATAGTGAGAACCCATCTCTCAAAAAAATACAAAAATTAGCTGGATGTGCTGATGCACGCCTGTGGTCCCAACTACTCTGGAGGCTGAGGTGAGAGGACTGCTTGAGCCCAAGAGACAGAGGCTGCAGTGAGCCGAGATTACACCACTGCACCATAGCCTGGGTGACAGAGGGAGACCCTGTCTTAAAAAAGGAAAAAAAAAAAATGCTGGCCACAGTACCTCACGACTGTAATCCTAGCACTTTGGGAGGCCGAGGCTGGCGTCCAATGGCACAATCTCGGCTCACTGCAACCTCTGCCCTCCCAGGTTCAAGCGATTCTCCTGCCTCAGCCTCCTGAGTAGCTGGAGCTACAGACACCCACCACCATGCCCAGCAAATTTTTGCATTTTTAGTAGAGATGGGATTTTGCCATGTTAGCCAAACTAGTAACGAACTCCTGGCCTCAAATGATCCACCTACCTTAGCTTCCCAAAGTGTTGGAATTACAGGCATGAGCCACCACGCCCGGCATGTTCATGCTTTGTAAAGGGTAGTGGCTCATGACTGCCTGTTCTCCTCACCTGCATCTATCCCCCCGGACCCCTGCCTGGCTGCTTCCTTCTTTCTTAGATCACGCTGAACACCAAGTGCTAGGTCAAGAAATGCCCCTGTCTCCTGCTCAGAGCCTCTTCTCTCAAACTGGGGCTGGCTCCTCTTGAGTGTAGGCTCTTATCCCAAGCCCCCACCTGCCTGCTCTGGATCTTTGGGCAAAAGACCTGGAGTGTCTGGATAGAATTTGGGATGTGGGTGAGATGACTGGTTTAACCCCAACTGTGTGCCCTAGGAGGCACGAGAGAAGGTGGTTAACCACCCAGGGCCAGCTGGGCACAGTGACTGGCACCTGTAATCCCAGTATTTTGGGAGGCTGAGGCAAGTGGATCACTTGAAGTCAAGAGTTGAAGACCAGCCAGAACAACATGGAGAAATCTCCTCTCTACTAAAAATACACACACACACACACACACACACATACACACACACACACACACACACACACACACACACACACACACACACAAAACCTAGCCAGGCACGTGGTGGCCCACACTTGTTGAAAGACTATGAATAAGCCTTGAGTTGAAGGTCACGTGGCATGTCAGTCACATCCATTACTCCAGGATGGGAAGATGGGGCTGGGCGGGAGAAGGACCATCATAGAGGGTATCGGTGCCATAAGAGGAATCTGTAGAAACTGTGGGGTTTGCTGACGCCTGGGTCCCACCCTCCAGGCCATGGTGAGAATCCAGTACGGTCTTTGCGGCTCTGTGGGGACTGCTGTCCTTTCCTCACTCCCTCTCTCCCAGGCACCCTCAACTACAGCCACATTGGCTGTCTTCAAGTGCCTCAAACGTCTTCCTATCTTGGGAGATTTGCACAGGAGGTTTTTTCAGCCTGGAATGTTCTATCTCCATCTCCTCTCTTCTGCCCAGTTAACTGCTAAATGTTCTTCAGGCCTCAACTCAAGTGTCCCCACCTCCAGGAAGCCTTCCTTGACTACCCCTTGGATCAAAGTGGTCCCTATGTCACACACCTCCGTAACACCATGGAAATCTCCTTCGGAGCGCTGTCTACAATTAGGCATCCACTGTATACCATGCTAGGAGTGAATGGGGTTTACAAGAAACTTACAGCCTGGCATGGAGAGACAGATAATAGACAACACATAAAATAATAATCATTATTACTATAATAATAGCTAACATTTATAGAGCATTTACTATTTGCCAGTGATTATTCCAAGTGCCTTCCTTTTTATTTTATTTTTACTTTTTTAGACAAGATGTCACTGTCTCCCAGGCCGGAGTGCAGTGGCATGATCATAGCTCACTACAGCCTCAGTCTCCTGGGCTCAAGTGATCCTCCCACCACCTCAGCCTCCTGAGTAGCTGGGACTACAGGCACATGCCACCATGCCCAGCTAATTTTTTTTTTTTTTTTTTTTTTTTTTTTGTAGAGACAGAGGCATGGGGGTGGAGGAGGTCTCCCTATGTTGCCCAGGCTGGTCTCAAACTCCTGGCCTCAGGCCATCCTCCTGCCTTGGCCTCCCAAAGTGCTGGGTTTATAGGTGTGAGCCACTGTGCCCAGCTTCTTTTTTATGGTTTTGCTTTTCAAAAAACATTTTGTTTAGATTTTTATATTATCATCTTCCTCAAACATTTCATTTTGAAAAATTTCAAACCAACAGAAAAGTTGCATGAAACTCCTATTCTTCACCAGATTTACTGATCATTAACATTTTACATTTGCCCTTATTTTGGACATCAATTTTTTTTTGCCCTAAACTGGTTAAGAGTAAGTGGTAGACATTAGATTCTTAATCCCTAAATACTTCAGTATGCATCTCCCAGGAACAAGGACATACTCTCAGATAACCACAATTCCACTAGCATACCCAGGAAAAAAAATTTTTTTTTTTTTTGAGACAGAGTCTAGCTCAGTCTGTCACCCAGGTTTTATGCAGTGGCGCGATCTCAGCTCACTGCAACCTCTGCCTCCTGGGTTCAACGATTCTCCTGCCTCAGCCTCCCAAATAGCTGGGTCTACAGGCATGTGCCACCATGCCTGGCTAATTTTTGTATTTTTAGTAAGATGGGGTTTCACCATGTTGGCCAGGCTGTTCTCGAACTCCTGACCTCAGGTGATCCCCCTCCCTCAGCCTCCCAAAGTGCTAGGATTACAAGCGTGAGCCACCATGCCTGGCCACCCAGGAAATTTTAAATTAACATAAAATATTATTTAAGATATGGTACATACTCAGATTTCTCCAGTTGCCTTCAAAGTGTCCTTTATAGCTGGGATTTTTTTTGCCCCACCTGGGATCCAATCAAGACTCACGTGGTGTCTCTGGTTATCAAATCTAAGTACTTTTAACATGTTAGTTAATATTCCAATGAGTGGGTTCTATCCCCATTTTACAGTTGGGGAAACTGAGGCACAGACAGGTTGTGTTACTTTTCCAAATTATACAGCCAGAGAATGGGGGAGCCCATTGGTCTCTCCAATCTCCCTACCTCTCTCTCTCTCTCTCTCTCTTTCCCTCTCTTTAAATTAATTTTAAGTTCCAGGATGCATGTGCAGGATGTACAGGTTTGTTATATAGGTAGACATCTGCCATAGTGATTTGTCGCACCTACCCATCTATTACCTAGGTATTAAGCCCCACATGCATTAGCTGTTTATCCTGATGCTCTCCCTCCCCCTGTCCCGCAACAGGCCCCAGTGTGTGATGTTCCTCTCCCTGTGTCTATGTGTTCTCATTGTTCGGTTCTGACTTATGAGTGAGAACATGCAGTGTTCGGTTTTCTGTTCCTGTATTAGTTTGCTGAGGGTAATAGCTTCGAGTTCCATCCATGTCCCTGCAAAGGACATGCTCTCATTCCTTTTCGTGGCTGCGTAGTATTCCATAGTGTATGTGTACCCATTTTCCTTCCCCAGGCTATCATTGATGAGCATGTGGGTTGATTCCATGTCTTTGCTATCGCGAATAGTGCTGCAGTGAACATACGCGCGCGTGTATCTCTTTATTGCAGCAATAGTCACCTGCCGTTCTTTTGATCCTTGTGTTCTATTCCCAACCCGGAAGGCGGAAGGATCATTTTAAACTGCAAATCCTATCAGTTCACGCCTCTGCACCAAGCCCTGCCACAGCCCCTTGCTTCTCTCAGAATAAGAGCCTAAGACCTTACAGTGGCCCACAAGGCCCTACCCTATCTGCACCCCTCACCCCCAGCACTTCTGTGACCTCATCTCCCTCTCCCATCCACCCCCCTCCCCCAAGCCCAGCGCGGCTACCCTGTCCTTGCTGTTCCTCCCGCCCGTCAGGCACATTGCAGCCTCAGGGCCTTTGCACATACTGTTCCTGCTGCTAGGAGCGCATTTCCCCGAGATCTCATTCGGGCTCACTCCTCACCCCCCTGCAAGTTTTACCCAAATGTCAGTATCTCAGTGAGACTTTCCTTAGCATCCCCACCTGCAGTGGCATGATCTCAGCTCACTGCAACCTCTGCCTCCAGGTTCAAGCAATTCTCCTGCCTCAGCCTCCAAGTAACTGGGACTGCAGGCGCCCACCACCACACCCAGCTAATTTTTGTATTTTTTTGTAGAGAGGGGGTTTCACCGTGCTGGCCAAGCTGGTCTTGAACTCTTGCCCTCAGGTGATCCGCTGGCCTCAGCCTCCCAAAGTGCTGGGAGTACAGGCCTGAGCCACACGCTCGGCCCCTCCCCCGCTGTTTCATCTTGGTGCTTCCTACTGGTATACTCGGTATTTTAGAGTGACTGCTGTCTCCTCGCAGGCGCCCCAGGGCAGGGGTTGTCTGCTTTGTCCCCTGCGGAGTCTCCTGCTCCCGGGACCAAGGCGGACGCGCAGTAAAGCGTCCTGGTGCCTGCTGGTTGCTGTCCCCGCAGCACGTGTTCTGTGAGGAGTGCCTCTGCCTGTGGCTGGACCGCGAGCGCACCTGCCCACTCTGCCGCTCGGTCACCGTGGACACCCTGCGCTGCTGGAAGGATGGCGCCACGTCCGCACACTTCCAGGTGTACTAGGCCGAGCACCGAGGACACCCGGAAGGACGCCGGGGCTCCGCATGCCCGGACCCAGCCCTGCGCGGGCTTCCTGGAAAACAGGCCTCAAGCGCTCACATCCTGCCTCTTCCCTCCACCACCGCTGACCCCAAAGCCCCGCCCCTGTCTTGTCCTTCTGACCTTCACCTTCTCTCATTCTGTGATGTGGCGCGTGCCTCCTTCCCCTGCAAAAGGGGACGCCTTCCTTCTCTGCCCCAAGTCAAGGACCTGCCAATACCTGAAGTTTCCACTTGTTGGTTATTTCCTCCCTCCCTCCCTCCCTCCCTTCCTTCCTTTCCTTTATTCTCTTTTTTCTTTCTTTCTCTTTCCTTTCTCTCTTTCTTTCTCTTTTTCCCTCCCTCCTTTCTTCTCTCTCCCTCCCTCCCTCCCTCCCTTCCTTCCTTCTCTCTCTCTCTTTCTCTGTTTCTTTCTCTTTCCAGGCTAGAATGCAGTGGCACAATCTCAAGTCACTACAACCTCTGCCTCCTAGATGCACGCAATTCTCCTGCCTCAGTCTCCCAAGTAGCTGGGATTACAGGCGCCCACCACCACACTTGACTAGTTTTTGTATTTTTTAGTAGAAAGGGGGTTTCACCATATTGGCCAGGCTGGTTTCCAATTCCTGACCTCAAATGATCGGCTCTCCTCGGCTTCCCAAAGTGCTGGATTACAGGCATGAGCCACCACACCCTGCCTCATTTTTTTTTTTCTTTCTTTTTTTTTTTTTTTTTTTTTTGAGACAGGGTCTGGGTCTTCACCCAGGCTGGAGTGCAGTGGTGCAATCACAGCTCACTGCAACCTTGAACTCCTGCACCCAAGCAATCCTCCCACTTCAGCCTCCCAAGTAGCTGGGACTACTGGTGCATGCCACCAGGCCTGGCCAATTTTTTTTTTTTTTTTTAAGTAAGGGCAAGATCTTATTATGTTGTCCAGGGTGGTCTCGAACTCCTGGGCTCAAGCAGTCCTCCTGCCCTGGCCTCCCAAAGTGTTATGTGCTGGGATTACAGGTGTGAGTCACTGTACCCAGTCCACTGGTTGATTATTTTAACCTAGTACTTTGTACTTGATGCTACAGGCTGGGGAGGAGCCTGGAGATCACTGCCTCCCAGATAGGCCAGGCTGCAGATTAGAATCCCTGTGAACCCTGGGAAGTCTTTTCTTTCTTTCTTTCTTTCTTTCTTTCTTTTTTTTTTGTTGTTGTTGTTGTTGTTGTTGTTATTATTGTGAGACAGTCTTGCTCAGTTGCCCAGGCTGGAGTGCAGTGGCACGATCTTAGCTCACTGCAACCTCTGCCTCCCGGGTTCAAGGGATTCTCCTGCCTCTCAAGTAGCTGGGACAACAGGCGCGGGCCACCACACCTGGCTAATTTTTTTTGTATTTTTCGTAGAGACGGGGTTTTGCCACATTGACCAGTCTGGCCTCAAACTCCTGACCTCAGGTGATCCACCTGCCTCAGCCTCCCAAAGTGCTAGAATTACAGGTGTGAGCCACCACGCCCGGCCCCAAAGTATTTTCACACTACAGATGTTGGGCCCCCCAATATACCTGTAATAATGTAATGTCCCAAACACTCGATGCACGGCAGGCACCGTATCCGGCCCCTGCTTGGATTACATGTTGTCATCCTCACAACGGTCTTGTGATGGGGGAGGTATGTTGGGTCTCCCATTTTACAGATGAGGAAATAGGGGCACACAGCTTGGTGTGGTAACTCTCCCGGAGTCACCCAGCTAGCACAGGTGTGCCGAGTTTCCAACAGAGGCCTGGTACAGCTTCAGAACCCACATTAAAAAAAATTTTTTTATTACAGATTCAATCTCCCAGGCTCAAGCGATCCTCCTACCTCAGCCTCCCAAGTAGCTGCAACTCGCACACTCCACTATGCCCAGTAGAGCCCACACTCTTAACTGCCGCACTGATCTGCCCCTCTGACATTCCAGGCAAGGAGTCCAGCAGACAGGGTTTTCTAAAAGCACAGGAGAGATTGGGCATGGTGGCTCATGCCTGTAATCCCAGCACGTCGGGAGGCTGAAGCAGGCGGATAACCTGAGGTCAGGAGTTCAAGACCATCCTCGCCAATATGGCGAAACCCCCTCTCAACTAAAAAATACAAAAATTAGCCAGGCCTGGTGGTGAGCACCTGTAATTCCAGCTACTCAGGAGGCTGAGGCAGGAAGAAGTGCTTGAAATCGGGAGGCGAAAGTTGCAGTGAGCCGAGATTGTGCCACTGCACTCCAGCCTGGGTGACAAAGCGAGACTCCGTCTCACAAATAAATAAATTCACATGAGGTGATTTTAATGCCCATCCTGGTTAAGAATGAGTGGTCCAGGCACATAGCATGCTAGACATGAACTGTGTTGAAAACATTGAATGCAAGATCCTGAAATCTACTTGTGGCTGGATCCCCAGAAAAATGTAGCCCTTAAAATTCCCATTTCTGCCAGGCATGGGGCCTCATGCCTGTAATTGCAGAACTTTGGGAGGCCAAGGTGAGTGGATCACTTGAGGTCAGGAGTTCAAGACCAGCCTGGCCAAGATGGTGAAACCCTGTCTCTACTAAAAATACAAAAATTGGCTGGGTGTGGTAGTAGACATCTGTAATCCCAGCTACTCTGGAGGCTGAGGCAGGAGAATTGCTTGAACCCAGAAGGTGGAGGTTGCAGTGAGCCAAGATCACACCACTGCACTCCAGCCTGGGTGACAGAGTGAGTGAGACTCTCTGTCTAAAAAAAAAAAAGAAAGAAAGAAAGATCAGCTTTGGCCCACTGGGTGTCCCGTCTTTATGTCTTTCCTCCTCTTTCTATTCTGTCATCATCCTCACTTAAGTCTCAGGCCTGTCTGCGGCTTCTGGGGACATTGCCATCCCCTCTGGTAGCCTTCAGAGCAAACGGGACAACCCGTGTTATGGATGTTTCCACCAACCAGGGTGGTGGCTCAGAGCACCGTCTCCATCTGTGCTTCTGTGATCTCTGTGACAGAGCCACTTTTCCACCTCTGAAACTCTCCCTGCTCTGAAATCTGGGATGAGGTGGCACAGGTGACCACGCAGAAGCCACTGGAATCTTGCCTGCCCTATTCTCTCCCAACTCTGTTCTCTTATTGTCAACCTCAGCACAACGGGCTGGCACCAATGGCATTACAGAGAAAGCAATCTGTGTGGCCAGTGGGCAGATGAGCATGCAGGCCCCAGGAGAAACAGAGGAGCTGTGCAGCCACCTCGCTGTCAGCCAGTATTAACATGTCCCCTGCCCCCCTCCATGGATTCAGGACATTCACTCCTGTGTGCCACCAGGCCAGGACTTTCCCCTTGGCATGGCATCCCTGGCTGTCTCCTGGTACCCAGCAAGACGTCTCTTCCAGGGCAGTGTAGCATCTTTCAAGCTCTGTTACTATGGCGATGGCCATGATGTTACAATCCCACTTGCCTGAATAATCAAGTGGGAAGGGGAAGCGATGGGAAACGGGGCCAGGTGGATGCGGCTGCTCTCTTCTCCCTGCCCTGAGCTTCCTCACCGAAGGGAAGCAACAGGAACTTCTGCAACTGGCTTTTATCAGAAAGATCATCCTGCCTGCAGATGCTGTCAAAGAGGCACAAGAAACTGGAGCTGGAGAAGGCTGATCAAAGTGCAGGTGTGTAAGGAAATAGATAGAACAGTCTGCTGGGAGTCAGACCTGGAATTCGGATTCCAGACTCTGCATGACTTTGGAAAGCCACTTGGCCTCCCTGTAGCCATCTCCAGCCTGACGGAACCTAGTGTATTACCTGCTGAAACCAAGGAAACTAACAATGTAGATTACTAGTGAATACCCCAGTGGTTTCTCCAATTATGCCCATGCCACCAAAACAATAAAATTCTCTAACACTGCAAATAATGAGCCATGCCTCTAACACTGTAAAGAATGTAACATGTTAGGGACACACAGGGGCAGGTGTGATGGTATAGTTTAGGATTTTATGAATGCATGCCCTACTCTCTGGGGGAATGTCCCATCTGAGGTTTTCTTCTGGGTCGGTGGATTTAACTTCTGTCTTAGGGAAAACAGTGTCTGATAAGGAGTGTTCCCAACACAGGCTGCGTGGATTCCCCAAGACCACTGCAAAAGCAGCCAGGAGTCCCCTTTGGAAAAGAACAATGCCACTCTTTTTTACGTATCTTTGTTCTGCAACTCATTTGTTGTAAGTAGGATTAATGGAGTATCAGGTTCACAGTATCCTACTCTTAATATTTTGTGATTCACTGACTCAAGTTCCACAAAGTCCTTAGAAATGGTCTTCTTCATGTACAAGATCTTGAGAATAATAAATGTGAGGGAATAAGAAAGACAAGCTTTGGACTCAGATATGACAGGTGTATCAGTTTCGAAAGGGAAGAATGATGTGCAGTGTTAGGAAGACATCCAGCCTGCTGAGACTCGAGATTAGAAGGAGAGGTCAATGAAGTGGGTCCTGGAATCTTTTAGGACTTTTGCTGTGGGACAAACAGCTGCCTTTGGTGTTTTTAATGTCTCCCAAAGTACCCTTCAGCCAATAAATACCATCTGTTGATACAACTTGGGTTTGTGGTCTTGACTCTCCTTTCACCTCTTGAAGCCAAGTGTTTTAGATCAAAGGAGAAGAAGCCCTTCGCAGAGTGGGCGGTTGTCTTATGTTGGTTTCTCCTAAAGCAGATCGTGTTCGGGTGCATGTGATTTATTACAGAAGTGATCCCACGAGAAACCAGTAAGGGAATCATGAGTGAAACAGAACAGGGAAGGGAAAGAAGCCAAGCTCCGGCGAAGTCCCAGTCTTAGCCAGATCCCCCGGGAGCTCGGGAGTGTAAGTTGCCTGCCCCACAAAATACATACCAGTTAATCCTTGGCGCTGGGTTGATGGAAGCCTCCCAGGCACTTCAGATTCTCTCCAAAGGAGGCCCCAGTGTCCAAGGACAAGCCTAGGAGGGTCTCAGATACCAGCAAAGCACATGAAACTGAAGGATAGGAACCTGGAAAAGGGGATCAGAAAGGGCCTCCGAGGAGCAGCGACAGTATCTACTACAGGGGCTCACTAGAGGCTGTGCGGACCAGGAACATATAGGCTGATTCAAGAAGGGTTTTCCAGGACACCATATTATCATAGATAATTAAATGTAGATTAACAGCACAAGGTGACAGTACATGCCTCACAGGGCAACATTGTGACACCAGCCACGAAAACACCGGCAAGCCGAACTTTTGGGTTGCTGTCAAGGCTAAGCACGGTGGCTCACGCCTGTAATCCCAGC